TTATTTCTGTTCGCAGTGAGTTGTCCATTCCACTGCTCGCGCAAACATCCCACCCACCCACCCGCAACTTGGTTTGCAAAATCTCTTAAGACCGTGACGGTGGGTACCAAATGGCACTTGGCAACCGCGACGCCGACGACGAGAGCGACAACGACGACGACGACGCCGCCGACAACGACTACGACTACGACGACACCGACGACGTCTCCAACGACTTCGACGACGCCGACAACGACGACGACGACGACGACGACGACGACGATGACGACGACGACGACGACGACGACGACGCGGACGCCGACGACGACGACGACGATGACAACGACGCCGACGATGACGACGCCGACGACGACGACGACAACGACGACGACGACGACGTCAACGACGCCGACGACGACGACGACGACGACGACGACGACGGCGGCGACGACGACGACACCGACGTCGACGACGACGAAGACGACGACGAAGCCGACGCCGACGACGACGACGACGAAGACGACGACGACGTCGCCAACGAAGACGACGACGAGGGAGGAGGGAGGACGACGACGGCGACAACGACGAGGGAGGAGGGAGGACGGCGACGACGCGAACGACGAAGAAGGAGGAAAGACGGCGACGCCGACGACGACAACGACGAGGGAGGAGGGAAGACGACGACGACGACAACGACGACGACGACGACGACGACGACGACGACGACGACGACGACGAACGATAGGAAGGACGACGACGAGACGCCGACGACGGACGACGACGACGACGAGGGAGGAGGAAGGACGACCACGGCAACAACGACGACGGAAACGACCACGACGCCAAAGAGGACGCAGACGACGAACACGAGGAAAGACAGAGGACGACGTAGGCGACGACGACGACGACGACGCGGGAGGAGGGAGGACGGCGACGACGACGACGACGACGACGACGACGACAAAGAGCGCGCGCGCACGCTTTTGTTGAAAATCCGTGTTGCGAAACCCAATGTTTTTGTAGGTTGTTTGGAAGCACGATTTTGAAATCCTTCCGAAACCGATGGGTTTTGAAGGATTTCGGCATACGCGCGCGACGACCGACGCGCGCGTCTGCACTTCGTCCAGTTTTTGCAGAGGATTCTCGCGACGGCACACGCGCAAAGGCGTTCGACAGATTTCGACATGCGCGCGCAAAGCCCGTTTGGTAGCATGTTGTAAAAATATTGAAAAGCCTATGGTTTTCCTCAGATGTCGCAAGAGATCGCGCGTAAGTTTTTTTAGCACATCAGTGATGCGAAACCCTATGTTTTTGCATGTTGTTTGGAAGTTCGATTGCGAAACCCTTCCGGCACCGAAGATGTTTGAAGAATTCCGGCATGCGCGCGCGACGACGCGCGCGTGCGCACTTCGTCCCAATTGTTGCAAGGACTTCGTGGGAAAGTTTTATGCTAGAACAACAAATGTCCTCGCGTATTTTTTTAAATAAAAACAAAAAAACTCAGAGGGGGGCGATGCCGGCCCCATCTGGGATAGTGCAAATTCATATTTAGGATGGACATGTGGCTAGAGTCATAAATGATTTACATACCCCAAAGGGGGGCGGATAACGCCAGGGGGGGTAAAGTCTTTCCTTTTTTAGAAAGGAGAATCAATTCAGTTGACGAACTTGAGGATGACAACTCCACTACTCGCGCAATCATCCCACCCAACCGCAACTTGGTTTGCAAAACCCATGCGGTGGCGATTGCGATGCATGCTTGGCGTTGGCTGGTGCATCTGTGCGGCCGAGCTAGCCCGCGCATGCTCGCGCGCGCAGCGGCCAGCTAGTTTGGCACGACCAACGCGAACGCGGCGGCGCTGACCGCTCGGCACATCCCAGCGGGCACTTCAGTGCGAGTCTGCGACTTGGGCGGCCGCGGTATCATGGCAACGTCGACCACGGTGGACACGAGGATGAAAGTAGCGATGCAGGCGACGATGCTGACAACCACGACGGGGCAGCCACTGACGGCCCCGATGCTGATCACGCCGACGACGATGACGGCGTCATAGCGTCGGTGATGCAGGCTTTTGGGAGGAGTTCGAAATGCGCGCGCGGCAGTCGCACGAGAGTGGCCCGCATGGAATCATTTGACACGGATCGTGCCATCCCAGCACGCGCGCAAAGGCATTCGAACGATTTCGACATGCGCGTGCGAAGCCCGTTTGGTAGCATTTTCTGAACATGTTGAACCACTGATAGTTGTCATAGAATTTCGCAAGAACACGCGCGAGATTGTTTTGAAAATCCGTGTTGTGAAACCGTGCTTTATATGTGTTTTGGACACTGGATTTCGAAATCCTCACGAAACCGATGAATGCTGAAGGATTTCGGCATGCGCGCGCGCGACAACGCGCGCGTGTGCACATCGTTCCATGTGTTGCAAGGGATTCTTGAAAACTTCTGAATTGTGGTAAACGAATGAGCGCTCATAGTATCTGTGGCAAAGGATGGCGGGGGGTCGATATCGGCTCGGCTG